ATATATATATATATATATATATATATATATATATATATCTACTAAGTTTCATCAAAATCCAATCATTTTTGACTGAGTTATAGAGCAAAAATAGTGTGAAAAATCAGTCCTCATGTTAACAGATAGGGATTTTTGGATTTTAGTAACCTTGACCCTCCAAAAACTAATCACTTCTAAGATGGTTCATATTCCAAATGTATACCAACTATCGTCCAATTCTATTCAGCCATTTGAGAAATATTGTTTACACACACAGGGGTGAAAACATAACCTCTGTCCACCTTCTTTGGCAGAGGTAATAACTTCAAACTGGGTGTTCAGACAGGATGCCTTTGACATCTTTACAGGTCATTATAGAAGAAAGAACAAACATTTTATCTTTAGTTCTTTGACACCCACTCATACACACAGAGTTAATAGTGGATACATGTTACATTACTCCCAACTTTTCTAGTGCATTCAGTTTCACCTCTCTCCAGCTGTCAAAAAAATACAGAAATGTAAGTATGTGTCATTAAAAGACTCATAGTGCATTGACTGTAAGTGAACAGTTTAATATTTGTAGGAATTAACAATTGTAAGCATGCATTTAAAGTACTAACATATATTACATAAATGGAAGTGATAATGAGACAAAAATGTCCAAATTCCCTGTAATATTTTTTAGCTACAAATACACTGGGCCTCATTCCACAATTAATGGTATTTTCCACATTTCGCCTGCTGTGGATTATTCCAATGATGACCACATAATGCAGTGTAGTGATTTTAGCTACTTAACGTGCCCCCCTCCCTACATACATACACACACCCAATTTGTCTCACTTTTTCATGAGAAATGACAAATGCCAAAACCTTGATGTTTCATTTCTTATATAAAGTAAGTACTCCATCTCTCTTCAAGTACTGGAGTTTTCAGCAGACTTGTGAACAATTATTCTTTTTCACTGATTTGAAAACCAAAAACCATTCATCTGTTATAAGTGTATCATTTCATGATCCTAGCAGATTTATTAGACACACCAAATATGTCATTCCTAGCTCCTGATATCATTTTAAATTCTAAACTAACGACAGAATTTTATTAGTAAAATTTTGATGGGAAGAAAAAAAAAGACCCATTTTTTTTTTTTAAATATCTACACAATATATTAACAAATAACTTCAAACTGTAATATACTCCTTGTTGACTGATATCATGTGGTGCTTCAACTACTGAAGGACTAAGCCTATTTGATTAAGTACCATCTTTGTTCTTCACTCAAAAAAGTGTAAAAGTTAGTGTAAAAATATGGCAATCAGAAAGGACACCTTTATCATCTTCACAGATCATTATAGAAGAGAAGGATAAATGTCTTAATCAATAAGTCAATTATTAACTGAAAAAGTATAATTTCTTCACATGACTTCATATCTTTTGTATAGACTTACCACCCAGTTTGGCCACACCATCGATGACAAGAGTTGCATCCAAGAAGACATAGCATTATAGAGGTCTTGTGCTGTGGAGTCTTCATTCAATTTCAGTAATTCATAGTTACATGGAATGTCAGCAAGAGGTTCAGATGAGGTTCCATAATACAACTTTGTAGTGTTTAAATCATCTTTGGCATCTAGTATCATTACACTGTTATATGAAAAAAAAAATTAATTATTGATAAATAGTCAGATGAACATAAATATTTATAAGGAGATTAGGAAAATTATTCAGTAAATGTATGTGAAGCCTGGTGGTAAGGGTACTTGACTCGCAACCTGTAAGTTGCAGATTAAAATCCCTGTCACCAAACATGTTCACCCTTTAAAGTTTCTGTCATGGACAGCCACCTGAGGGTAAAAATTCTTAACTAATATAAAATACCTCAGCAGATGACCCCAAATCTAGATGAGATTAGGGTCAAAGTTCAGTTAAAGTAGGTTTGTTTTGTAGATATTATATTGATCTTGTTTTTATGTTAAATCATTAAAATCAAATGCATTATTCCAATTTGAGATTGTATTCTTAAGCATATTTCCCAAACTATCTTGTGTATTATCCACTGTTGGTTGTTAAAAATCTTACTGTGATCAAATTTTCTTAATGGTATATATCTCAGTACCCTTCATGAGTTTTCACTGGAAACACACACCTATGAAACATCTGAATACTGTTTTAATTTACTTTAAATTACTCACATTGGTAATAAACTTTGTCAAATGTTTACATGTCTTTATTGTTTAAACACTGCCAACTTCCTTGTCAAAGATGTATTAAACAAGGTCAAACATACCTGTAGGAACTGCTGGTATCGCTGAAGTTCAATAAAATTTCCTTCCACTCCTTCAGAAGATTAAAAGTTTCTGGTAGTCCTCTGGTGTATATGTGGTTTAAGGAGCTGTAATCATCCTGTAGTGATACAACAAACTATCACAACCCGAACACTGTCAGCAAATCCACAAAAATACTTTTAAGATTTTAACAGTTAGCAAGTTTAATAGATACTGATATTGTCAAATGATGTTATTATATGTAACATAAATTACTAATAAACCTGACATCTAAAAACAGGTATGACACACATAAAAAAACCTCAAAATTAATAGCTACTGCTAAGTTTTTGTTTTTTTAATCCTGTACTGTTCTAAAAGCAACTGCAAGAATATCGTTATTTTAACTGATGATATAGGATTTTCATTATTTCTAACTTATTTCCAGAAACTTGAAATTCAATTACAAAATTAAGAAAATAATTACATTATGTAATTAAAACAAAGTAATAAAGAATCAATTGTAAAATTTAAATGATGAAAAATAAAAATATTCTAAACAGTCTCCAAGTTTTATAAGAAATTAGTTTTTAAATAAAATGAAAAATATAAAAATACATTGCATGCTGTCCAGTTTTATATTAACCCTACTCATTTTCTCTTCAACCCCTTATCAATCCAGTATCTCACTTTTCTTAATTGCAAAGGTAAATAATACAATTAACTTGGAAAAGATTGTCTGATATTTCACCTCAAATTATGTATAAAACAAAATAACTAAAATATTCAGATATAATGTTTGATACAAAATTGTAGTCAAATTTGTTTTAAATAAAGAAACAAAAATTCAAATTGCCAACCCTAACCCCAAATGAAGAAACATTTAACATTCTTATCTGTACATGAAAAACTTGTTAATACTTGAAACACAACTGAAGATCTGCAGCCTTTGTACATGTTTTCCAAGCATTCTTAGCTCAAATATTTTGGAAACAGTGAATTTTTGAAGTTGGTGGTTCCAAAAACTGTAAAATTTTACTAACTACACTTTTTCTTTTACAATAGTCAAGCTTCTAAAGCTAACAATATCATAAATATATCATCTGAAAGCTGAGATTATTTTTCTTTCTGTTAACCTATTTGCTGTAGAGCTCACTTTTTAACCATGGCATAACGGCTCATAGAATGACCCCAAATTTTTATTTTCAAATATAAACTTTTAGCTTACAGCTCTGTCATGTCTTGACCAATTTGAAATCTAATAACAGTTCTGAACTGATGTATTGAACCATGCCCAAGGTCTTGTAGATTAATTTACTCTAATCCTGCCTAAAAGAATTAACTTGAGGGTAGGCCGGTAGAGACTCTGATGAATAATAAAATAGAATCAAGTATACGTGTGTCCCAAACTTATTATTGCTGGTGCACAAAAATATAGCTATTTAAAACGTCTCATAGCTTAATTTACTCTAATCATGCCTAAAAGAATTTCAAGTGCCATGGCTCTTGAGGATTCCCTCATTTCCTTTTATGACTTCTAAACTTTTAGTTCTGTCAGAAGCCTTTCTTGATCACACACCTTCGAATAATCCATTTCATGGTTTTATATTTCTCATATGCTACGTAAAGGTATTATAAATTTTACTGTTAAAGTAATTACTTTAGTAGTTGTACTTTTACTTTATTAAAACTAACACTTGTAATGAAGTCTTATGGTGGGCATTATTTTGTCACGAGATGAAAGACTAGTTGGGAAGAATCTTTTATGAAAGAACAACTGTACATAATTTTTTAAAAGGAGCACAGAGGTAACTTTTATAAATATGATACAGTAAGATAAATATTATCTATTTATTTAAATTTTAAAGAGGCACTATCACAAAACTTTTTTCAACAAAGCAGTTAGTACACAACATCATTAAGCCTTGTAATTATAGCTAGTAAGTACGTGAAACTGGGCTTTCAGATCGATGGCATGATATGTAGTAATGTCAGGTAGTAATTATTATTTCATTATAAATTGTAAATTTACCAAAGAATATCTAATTTACATTCAAAAACTTTCAATGGTTATAATGTTTTATATCTGAAGTATCTGTATTTCAGATATGGTGTTTTATAAGTTAATTTTTTCTGAATGAAAATGAAGAAATGGCTGGAAACGTTTAGTTAAAACTATGTTCTGCATAAAGAAAATGTTCATTCTCTTATTTTATTTTTTATATAATATTTAAAGATAAGATGAAAGTAAACACTTGTGTGGGTCTGAGGACTGAATACTTACAGATCCTGCATCAGTATCTCCAGACAGTGGTTCATCCTTCAACATTTCGTCTTCAAACAGGTAACTGACATCATTTATTCTGAAACCATCCACTCCTTTGTTTAACCAGAACATCAAGATATCCTGTTCATGGAATTATGAAATCGTGTAAAACATACATAAAAATCAACAGGGTGCAAGTATCCTTCTTCATATAATCAAAGTTTGTAAGCTCAAAATTAAAGATGTTTTCAAAATCATCAAAAATACCCTTAGAATTCTAGTCAGGAAAGGATAAATAAAAGCAGAAACATTGTCATCTTAAAAAATCACTGATCCTGTGGAGATTTGTATAGTGAAGAAATTGAACGAATCATAAGTAAGAGAATAAAACAACATGATGCCACATGGCTGTTACATCCAAACAAAAATGTGCCCTAGCTGAACATCACTAACATATTCTAGCCAGACCAGCAGACGGGATCAAAAACAATACACATAACCACTAGAGAATAGAAAAGTTAAAAGACGTGTTCTTTCTTTCCAACCAGGACCTTGACTCCAACCAAAGTTTGGAAATCCTTGCTCTACATACACACAGAAGCCACTAAAATAATGCAACAGAATGTTGCAAACCTCAGACCACATCATAAGCATGTCAACCAATGGCTCAGTTTACTCAGCAACCCAATGAAGTCATCAGACAAAACAAATGTCACCCATTCCTACAATCTAGACATCTGCAATCCATAATAACTTCAAGTCCAGTTAATAACATAACACAATGTTTTGCAACAACAAAGGGCCTATTGGTCCATCTTGGTTGTCCCATCCTCTAAACTAAAACTAATAAATAAATAAATTAACAAAACATAAATAAATCTTAGTCATTCCTTATCATTCATATACTTATCAAACTTTCTCTTAAACTCACTTAAATTTTCTTCCTCCACAACATCTGAAGGTAACCCATTCCAAAAGCCAACCACCCTGTTAGAAAGATAAAACTGAAGATGATTCCTACCTTGCCAAAATTTATATTTGTGTCCCCTAGTCCTACTATTCTCACTGTTAAGTATGAAGAAAAATGATACACCAACACTATCAATTCCCTTTACAATCTTAAACACCTCAATCAGATCCCCCCCCCCAACTCTTCTTTTATCAAGAGAAAACAATTTGAGAGCTTTCAACCTCTCCTCAAATGACAAACCCTCCATCTCAGGCACCATTCTAGTAACCCTTCTCTGAACCCTTTCCAACAATTCAATGTCTTTCCTAAGGTAAGGAGCCCAAGAATGAACACAATACTCCAAATGTGGCCTAACCAGTAACCTGTACAATGAAATTATAACCTCTTTACACTAGTATTCAATATTTCTGTAGATACAACCTAAAATCCTATTTACCCTACCATTAACAACAGTGCACTGCTTGGATGGCTGATCAACTATTACACCAATATCCCTTTCTTTCAATGACACTGTTAAGGATATTCCCATTCAAATTATACTTGTAATTCAAATTATGGTAACCCATGTGCATTTATTATAATTAAAACCTATCTGCCATTTACTTACCCAACTTGCTAAATGATCTACATCC